TCTTGTTCCAGAAAGCCGCCGGCGCGGCTCATCGACATAATATCTCGTCGGGCTTGGTAATTCGACGTTCTCTATCGACATTTCCAAAGCTCCATAGAAGCTCGTTAAAATCGCAACCGACACGGGAAATACCGTCGCGGAGAATTCGAAAAAGTCGTGTTTAAAGATATTAAATACAATTAAGAACTATCTAATTCAAAGAGAACGCTGTTGAAAGAATACTATTGAGCTGAGTTTTTTATTTGTGTTTAATTTACGTGGCGATATTTGAGTCAAATTATGTTTATTTTCATTACTCGTCGGTGTGTCATTTATTTTGGTATCCAACTTGTTGCGCAAGAGAGACCTACTTTATATAAAATATGACCAGAGTTTTGCCAAAAAGAGTTTTATTAGTGATTAAAAAATTATATATATATATCTATATATAATGGCTACGTTACTTGTTTATTAATTAATATAATTTATCATAGAGCAATAACAAGTATGATTCACTTATACAATTTCCAACTCAAATATCTTTATATTCATATTTTTTTATCTGCATATTTATATTCTGTTTCCTTTTAATTTTTGTATTATCTGAAAGTTATCTTTTTAATATGTACGGTATGTCATATGTGAATAGTGTCAAGTTATAGTATTTTAAAATAATTGATTACATAGCGAATTTGTATTTGTTACAAAAATCATGGTAAACTGTAAGGGTTGCTACATACAAGAGGAATTAGAAGGTGGTCTACCTGGCCGTACCGGGTTTTCCGTCCAGATTATTGATCAATCAACGCGCGCCGGACTAAGGAGAACGGAACGTTTCAGTTTATCATCTTGGAGCGATCGATAGGATTCCAATTGATAGGTTTAGCTAACAAGTTGCCTCTAAAAGTTTCATCAAGCGTACACGCAATCGCCGACTTTTAAGAGTCCGCTTTAGTCATAATAATATCGCCGCCCAATTGCATACGAAACTATAATATTTGCATTAATTCATTTTCAATTTCAACAGTCGGACTATTCTTGCTTTCAACTTTGTATGTTTATTTGACTAAAATATTCCATCTCGTATCGACGATATAATATAATGACATCTGCATTACGGAGTCTTGAAATACTTAAATATTTATATTATTAAAGTTTATATTATAATCTTTGAATTTTTTTTTATATTGTATTATTCTTTCTTAATTTACTTTTTATTGCTAGTTTTCTATAAGAATAATTTTACGTACATCTGTAATGCTATAATATTCTTGCTGTTTGAGATCACATCATCAAAATGCATATAATTATACGTGGATAACATCCTTTCAATTCTTAAATTATCGCAATAGGGGTTTCTTAATTTCGGTTAAATTTAGCTTCCCGAAAGTTCTATTTTTCATCAAACATATTCGACAAAGTTGAAAGATAGATATAAAACAGCAACAAAACTGATATAACACAACCGCCTTTAATTTTTGCGTGTCAAAAGAAACTCATGTTACAAACAAATCGGGAAAACAATTCCAACCGTCAGTCGCCGAACATGTCTCGTTAGGTATGCGCGAAACGATGACATAGTCAGCTGCCAATAATGAAATCAAATCATCTTTCGCCCATGGCAGACGTGTAATTGACGATATTAAACCCCTTCGGCGGCCAACCGCACACGGCACCTCGAAATTTATCGATATGGCGATCGATTATTGGCGATCAGCGAAGAGACGCCCTTTTTGCGAACTCTTAAAAGATCTCACTCTCGCTGATTGCCTGCACTTTTCAAAGTTCTTAAGTTCCACGTTCTTGAGTAAAACCGCTAAGATAATCGCTTTAGTTATACTTCACTTAAAAATCGCTTTTTGACAGTCGCTCGCGCCGCTTGCTTCAACGCAATCAGTTTGTGAGAAAATCTGAAATTATACTTTGTTGAAAAATACTTGTATACATTTTTGAGTCTGTGTTAACATTAAAGATAATGAAAAACAAAGTTAAATGTATTATATTATTGCTCGTGCTCGTTATTGACTGTCGTGCTCGTACTGACTTTGTTTCGCGTAGTCGCCGCGCGTTCGCGATACTCTCCAACACTTGCTTTGTGGTATTTTGATTTTCCATCGTAAATTAAATGTCTTGTGAATAAACACTTGCTTATTTATTTCAGATAAGAGTATCTCGGAAATCACATCAGAAATAATATTGAAAACTAATTCAACATGGGACGTACGGTGACTGTCGCCGTTTGCACGTTAAATCAATGGGCGATGGACTTTGACGGGAATTGCAGAAGAATTTTGCAGAGTATACAAGAGGCAAAAGATGCTGGCGCCACTTATAGAAGCGGTCCAGAGCTAGAGATTTGGTAATTACATTTGAGAAAATTGATTTTGCCGCTTGTGAACATTTTGTAGGAATTGTTTTTCCGAGCTTCCAGATTTTTAAATACCTAGTGACATTGTAATATTCCACTTACACACTATATATATTTATTATACATTATTTTATAATATAGTTACATTTTTAAATATTTATTCAACAGCGGATACAGCTGCGAAGATCATTTTTATGAATCGGACACGTTGCTTCATAGCTGGGAAGTTTTAGCAGGCCTTCTAAAGTCCAGCATTTGCGAGGATATACTGATAGACGTGGGTATGCCAGTGATGCACAAAAACGTGACGTATAATTGCAGAGTGGCTTTCCTGAATCGGCGGATTTTATTGATTAGACCGAAAATGCGGCTCTGCGAGGATGGTAATTACAGGGAAAGCAGATGGTTCTCTCCTTGGACAAAAGTAATGAAACATTGTGCTTTACAATCGATCGAAAGTTGCGATCGTGTACGCGATAATTCGTTATATGTCTTATTGGATATGTTAGGAACGTATGGTCGAGGATTATTTTCTGCCGCGAATGATATCGCAAGTCACCGGTCAAACCGTAGTACCGTTCGGGGATGCAGTTATCGCGACCAGGGACACGTGCGTCGGTTTCGAAATATGCGAGGAACTTTGGCATCCAGCCAGCAATCACATTCCGATGTCACTGGACGGCGTGGAAATTATCGCAAATGGTAAAAACGCATTTGATGCTATGGCAATATAGACTTTTTCTTTTTTGTTTTTTTTTTATCGTGCTATTTTTACATTTTGCAACATACATCTTGAAATGCACAAAATCACAATTAGACAACTTTTGTTCAATTCTTTTCATTGCTTGTATGCGATACAATTAAAAAGATTGAATCTAATATTGACTCTTTTTTTGACTACTGAAAGGAAGCGGTTCGTATTTCGAATTGCGTAAAGCTTACGTCACTGTGGACCTCGTTAAATCGGCTACTTTTAAGGCTGGCGGCTGCTACATGTTTAGTAATTTACGCGGATGCGACGGCAGCAGATTATATTTCAATGGTGGCTCCAGCATCACTCTCAATGGCAATATATTAAATCGCGGAAAACAATTCGCTCTTGAGGACGTGGAAGTGACCGTCGCTACGTTCGATCTCGAAGATATAAGGTTTTGATCTGGACCAACTATTCTAGATAATGATATCAGTATTCGATTATATAGCAGAGTGTCGGATATTCCTCAATTCATTTCGAAATAATTAAGAAAAAACTTCAGATACACCGAGTTGCTATTTGGAAAATAATGTAAAATGGAATAATATAATGCATTGTTGTAATATTAAATCTTTTGGCAGGAATTATCGAAACAGCATCAGATCGCGATCACATGCGGCAGCTGCGTCGGAAAATTATCCGCGCGTTAAAGTAGACTTTGCGCTCACGCCGGAGAATCTTATGTCGAATCCACCGGATCGACCGCTCGACGGAGTCCAAGATGTGTATGGTGATGACGACGGGCAGTCAAGACTCGTATATCATACTGCAGAAGAGGAGATTGCGATGGCACCCGCGTGCTGGTTGTGGGATTATCTCAGGTGCGAACAGAGATAAGATGTTTATTTTTAAGATGTTTAATCTTTTAATATTCTCTTTTTATATGACATGGTTATAAAAATATTTGTTTATATTATGCCTATTGTATGTGTTTTAGACGATCTTGTCAAGGAGGATTTTTCTTACCATTGAGCGGCGGTGTCGATTCATCTTCCTCGGCGTGTATTGTATATTCAATGTGCGAAATGATTGTCGAGTCGGTCAATAAAAGAGGTAAGATGTACACTGCCTCCTCTTGACTTACGAAAATTTTAATAAAATTATATTTTGCTTTCAGATATGCAGGTTTTAGCAGACATTAGAAAAATTGTCGGCGATTGCGAATATGTACCGGTCGATCCGAAACAATTGTGCAACACTATCTTGGTCACGTGTTACATGGAAACGGAAAATTCATCGGCAGAGACCAAGGCCAGAGCGGCAGAGTTGGCCAGTCAGATAGGATCCTATCATCACGGTGTAGTCATAGATAGCGCGATATCAGCGATTTTAGGGATTTTTCAACAGGTTACCAAGCTGACGCCGAGATTCAAAGTGCAGGGTGGATCGCCTAGAGAGAACCTGGCGTTACAAAATGTGCAGGTAATCACTCGGTATCTTTGATTGATGGCACTAATATTTTGATCGTTAAATTACCCACTTCTATATTTTTAGTATTTTGCTTTCAGGCCCGGTTACGGATGGTAATCGCTTACTTATTCGCTCAATTAATGTTGTGGGTCAGAGGCCGTCCGGGTGGTCTCTTGGTATTAGGGAGCGGTAACGTGGACGAGGCCTTGCGCGGTTATCTCACCAAATACGATTGTAGCAGTGCAGATATTAATCCCATCGGTGGTATTGCGAAAAACGATTTAAAGAAATTCCTCTTATATTTTAGGTACGCGTGTATGAGAAATAATTTGTGATACTATTTATGATATTAGTTACATACTCACTAATTCAAAAGTTAAGATAGTAAAAATCCTGACATTTCTAAATTTCAGACGCAAGCACGGAATATCCGCTTTAAGCAGTATCCTGGAGGCACCACCCACGGCGGAATTGGAACCGTTGCAAGCAGGACAGTTAGCACAATTGGACGAAGTAGACATGGGTATGACATACAAGGAGTTGTCGATCTTTGGACGACTAAGAAAACAGAATTGTTCCGGGCCTTTTACAATGTTCTGCAGACTTGTACACATGTGGGATCATTGTACTCCGAAAGAAGCGAGTATATGCGCACTTTAATATCAAGTTGCAATTCCTCTTGGAGCCAAACTTTCAATAAACTTTTATTTCAGGTTGCTGATAAAGTAAAACACTTTTATAGGTGTTACGCTATAAATCGTCACAAAATGACGATATTGACTCCATCTTGCCACGCGGAGACATATAGTCCCGATGATAATCGATTCGATCACCGTCCCTTCCTTTATAATCACAACTGGAAATGGCAGTTTACGGCAATCGACGAACAGGTAAGAATTATGCGGGAGAAAGTTTATCTTGCCTCGAGTTCTAAAGTATCGGAATGTGAGAGGAAACGCTGTGCCGCCGAAGTAACATCGCGATTAGACTACACATGTGGGAATGCGATACATTATGGAACAAGGTCTCATATGCAACGTAGAGCCTGGCGTGTCGCGCGCAAGATGACCCGTAAAGGATGAATTAGACTTCTTCGTCAAGTTCAATTCGTATCAACGACGAGATCGAGCTAGAAAAATGATTAGTATGTTGGAAAGTTTTCGTACATTTCTCTCGACATAAAGGTTAGCAAGCGAATAATTGAATGACATAGTAGATAGTATAGAAAATATAATGATAGCATAATGCGGTGCCTTGCCAACCCCTGGAAATCTAATCTTTTTTTTTTGCTATTTCATTATGGATTAAACTATTTCCAGGTAAAACGACTCAACAGCGAGGAGAAACCGTTCAGACCGGATAAGGCTGCTCCGAAAGTACTCGCCAAGCCCAGATACATACCGTTCAGCTCCGTAATCAGCAGTGAGTAAACAAAACAAAGTGCCTGCATTAATGAAGCACGTCGAGCACAACGCATTTCGGCCGACAAAATCGTCCTAATCGCCAAAATACGGCGAAAACACCCACCGGAAAACCTACCTCCAGAGCTGCACACAGGCAGGTCGAAATGATCTGCCTCGAAATGTCGAGCCAACTTGTGCACACCTATTATTCTCCACCGTGCTTCTCGCTGCTTCTATCAAGAAGTCATCACCGGCATCATTCTCTGTTACAGATAAGACGCATCCAGGAATAGTAGTTTAACCGTAGCAGTAGCACTCTCTTATCATTTTGACATTGCAGCGCTGCGATAAATGGACATGATCTGTACTTGAAGCGGTCAATGATGGACCTTATCGTCAAGCGAGTCGCTCTTGAGATTAATATTTAGGAAACTTTTGTGAACAAGGAAGTATCGAAATATGAAAGATATTTTGAGAAAGTTGAATTATGTGAAACCTGATAAAATAAATCTATTAAATAAAAAATATATGATAAAGATTTGATGCGTAAATTCTAATTCTGATGTACTTTCCGAAATCATCCAAAGATCTTTGAGAGTCCTGGGCTAACAAAATTTGATGAATGATACAATTGCAGATATATCAGATACATATTGTACAAAAATAATCAGAAAATTCTTATATAATTAAATTAAAAATTTAACTTGGAGAATTTCTTGTCTTAATTACAATCTAAAGAACAAAACATAAAATGTAAAGAAAGTATGGTATCAAAGCCAATGCTTTATACTTTTGCAATCCATGCTATCACCTCTTGTATAGTTATAAGTTATTCCTATATTATATTAGAACAATGTAAAACACACAAGTATTAAATGCACGATGATTGAGGCGGAATATCAAATAGTTACATTTATCGAGTATATATAATATTAATTTTTATTATCTCTCTCTTCTCTCACAAATATATGTATAAGAGCGCGTAACCACATTTTATCGTTAACATACGATTTATAAAGATCGCTAATGGACAGATGGACAGCTAGGCTGCTCAATTAATGAAGTGATCGTTTAATAATCAGTAGACCTGGATTCGATCCTGGCCCATGACCTACCTTGTAGGTTGAAAATGATATTTGAGGGTGAAATTTACAACATTCTCCACTGTTGTAAAAACAAACCTAGAACGAAAAACCACAAATTCTTATCGTAGTGAAAAATAAAGAAAACATGGTTTTGCATTCTAGGAATGAAGGATGGAAGTACAATAAAGAACGCTGACCTGACCTGGATCTAGCGATCGCTAAATAGACGTCAATGTTCGGAATCGGATAATGCAGTCGTGCTCTAACGGAAATTTACAATCTCGTGGGACGCATAAACAACATATTAAATATTCATGTATTCATTTTAGCTACACTTTCTACGCACTTTCCGTTTTTTCATTTTAAACTTGTGATACATCTATTTTATCTAAGCGCCAAAAGTGGAGCTAAAAGCTGTATTATACATCATACGTAAATTCACATGCATACGCTCATACGAACAATGATAGCCACACATACGCTCTTATAAACAACAATATTCACGCAATCATACACTCGATTCGCAATTATATGTTAAAAACATGCCTGACGGTGTTAAATTTGTCCAATCCAACATGATAAAAATATGCCATCCTATTATATATATATATAGAAACTTTGGAATAAAAAATTCTTTTAAAGAATTCGAATGTGTGCATGTAATGTGATTAAATAATAATTAGTATAAAGTATTTTTATTTTTCAAGATTGGATAAATTTTGCACGCTACACCATAGCGATTTTCTAACCATAATCGCTCACTTTTTCTGCAAAAAGAAAGTCGCTTCTGCAACCAAACAATTCGATAAATATAGGATATATCCTGTATGTAGAGAATTATCTATAATATTATTAATAAAGTCAATAATTAAAATTATTATTTAGAGCTTTAATAATAATAATAATGATAATAATAATATAATATATAATAAAAATAATATAATAATGACAAAAATTATAAAGTACTAAGTATGAAAAGAATCGAACGCATCAGAAAATCGATAGCATTTCTCGTAAATGTAAAAGTAATAGTAAATTATTATGATAGTGATCAAGTAAAATTTTTAATAGATAATTTTTGCTGGAGAAATAGATGTAATTTTACGACTGAATACTGAACGTAAATTAAATAGTGATGGAAATATAGATATATATATAGCATTATTATTTAAAAATATAATGTTAATATCAATAATAATAATAATAAAAATAATAATAGTAATAGTAAGACGACATAATACACGCGCAACTTATTATACTTGATTCACAATGTGCGACGACAAGTATCGTTATCCTTGAGTATTTTCTCCAAGGTGTAAGTGCAATATATTCTCATATTCGAATCCGCGCGCGTTCAATATACAAATATTGTATACATCATTATTATTTGTAAGCAAAAAATAATCGCGGATTAACCGGTGCCCGTGTATGTGTGCGTAGTGTTTCCGCCGTTGATATAACTATTTACAATATGCGGGGATGAGCATCTCTCGGCGGAGCATTAGCATCTACGCCGAAGTAATCGAGCTTAAAAAAAAAAGACGAATACGATTATATATGTAGAATTAAATATCAGTATAGTCTCTCTAGTCGTATGTTATTTACAATAACAAATATTATCGAATGCTCTTGGCATGATGTTATTAACCATCGGACGCGTTTTGTGATATGAGTGGGGATATTTTAAGAAAAATAAATCTAAAATTGAATAAAACACTTTGTAAAAACATCTATATAATAGTAATATCAAATGCTATTAAACAGTTCAACTGATGAAAAATAACACAAGTCAAATAGCATAGCAATTGCTCGACTTTTTGTTAATGCAAAATTGCAATGGGCAAGTTAGCGCATTCGCGCGCTCTGATAAAAGAACTCCTTCGGGAAACATTTGAAACAATTGAATATTTAATCAACAATTCAACGTAAATGTAACACATTAAAACAATAATAATAACGATTTTATGACAAAACATCAAAGCCCATTGCGTATCTTTTACACGGTATAATATTAAAGGGTCTTTTAATTTTTTTATTCTTATTCCTACATGCGAGTATAGGTGACGTTTGGTATACATTTTATGAAGCATCCGTGAAGAATCACTTTCTCGCACTCGCCCGAGGATTTAGGAGACTGTGCTTTGAGAGGTCATGCTTCAAGGAGACGCGGCCTTTTTAACCCTTTGACAAGCGCATTTCGAGTCTTTTGCATACTGCGAAGAGGAGCAAATAAACATGCGTATAATTATATATTTATGTACATATATATCATATACATTTAGTTTATATATATGTATAACAAAAATGTATAATCTATATAATACAGATAAATATAATAGAAGATTTTCTCGATGTGAAATCATTATATGAAATTGCTGCTAAACAGAAGAATTTTGTGTTGTAATACTATTGCGTTTCAAAGGGTTATTTAAATTTAGAGCTCACAAATTATACTTTGCCGTGGCGAGCAAGTCCACGATCGTGTGTCTACGATGGGAAGAATCGAGCGGAAATATATGTATACCGGTTGTGCTCGATCCAAGTCCTACCACCTTAGAATTGCACGAAATCCCGTTTTATGTTTTCGTGTATATACATTTGTGTGTGTGTGTGTGTGTCTGTTGTGTTGTGTGTGTATTTGTGTACGGGTGTATATATGTACGATTCGTATATATGCGTGCCTCTCCTGTCCCATCCCCAAGCCCAAAAAACCATGGTGCAAGAGCGGAAAAGCAAAGTGGAGTGCGTAAAGGAGCGAGTGAATTGTTACTCTTATTATATCACAGATTACCCAAAGTGCGCATCGGTGTGTGTGTGTGTGTGTGTGTGTGTGTGTGTTGGGGATTTTATTAAATATATATATGCCTACTCTCTGTCTATACTATCAGTGTTTAGAAATATAATCCCAAAGAGAGGATAACTAAATTAAAATTTTTATTAAATAATGCAACATTTTATATTTCTCTCATTATAATAATTAATTTAATTTACCTTCTTTCAGTTGAAAGGCGTCTCAATTCAATAATAAAATCACTCATTAAATTAACAACAAAATAAAAATGTGAATTTTAATTACAGTCGATTCTCTCTTTTCAAGTGTTCTAAAAATCAACAGTTTTCTTCTAAATTAATATTCTTATAGACATAGAAAATATATATATATATATATACACACATATTTCTATGTCTATGAGTATTCTATTCTCACTATTCACATTTGCCTAATGTCGCTATATTAGAGCGAGAAAACGAGTGAAATATGTAACATTTCATACGCCATTAGAACAAGAGATGTCCATGGAAATGAAGAAAATCGACTCTCTGATTATTTTTCTAAACATTGACAGTTCAAAATCTATTTTTCACTAATAATACAGTGCAAGATCAGTCCATCTTGGACTGAAGATCTTGTCCTATTCTGTAACTTGTGCTCAAAAGTAACTTGAAATTTTTTTCCATTCCCCAATGCCCCGATCAAAGATAATGGAAGATTCATGACGCAAATCGCGATCGGAGAAATCACACTCCTCTCGATAATCGCGACGTCAAGAATTCCATTTTTCGCGCGCATATTTACCCATCGAGTCGAAAAGTAACGTAACTCGCCGTATATCTCTGATAAAAAAAATCATCCGTATGATAGCGCTCTTTTCCCTCTCCTCGGCTCACTCGCCGAGGATGATCCGCATTCCTGAAACGTTCTATCCGAGTCTTTGGGTCTGCTCGGTATCGCGCCTCCGGCCCACTATTAATATTCCATCTAAAATCTAGATATGCAATTGCGTTTAACGGTGTGTAGTTGTATGTATGTGTTTTGCATGCGCACACGCACGCATCGACGTGTGCGAATGAATATATGTATGTCCTGTTGGGGATTTTATTAAATATATATATGCCTACTCTCTGTCTATACTATCAGTGTTTAGAAATATAATCCCAAAGAGAGGATAACTAAATTAAAATTTTTATTAAATAATGCAACATTTTATATTTCTCTCATTATAATAATTAATTTAATTTACCTTCTTTCAGTTGAAAGGCGTCTCAATTCAATAATAAAATCACTCATTAAATTAACAACAAAATAAAAATGTGAATTTTAATTACAGTCGATTCTCTCTTTTCAAGTGTTCTAAAAATCAACAGTTTTCTTCTAAATTAATATTCTTATAGACATAGAAAATATATATATATATATATACACACATATTTCTATGTCTATGAGTATTCTATTCTCACTATTCACATTTGCCTAATGTCGCTATATTAGAGCGAGAAAACGAGTGAAATATGTAACATTTCATACGCCATTAGAACAAGAGATGTCCATGGAAATGAAGAAAATCGACTCTCTGATTATTTTTCTAAACATTGACAGTTCAAAATCTATTTTTCACTAATAATACAGTGCAAGATCAGTCCATCTTGGACTGAAGATCTTGTCCTATTCTGTAACTTGTGCTCAAAAGTAACTTGAAATTTTTTTCCATTCCCCAATGCCCCGATCAAAGATAATGGAAGATTCATGACGCAAATCGCGATCGGAGAAATCACACTCCTCTCGATAATCGCGACGTCAAGAATTCCATTTTTCGCGCGCATATTTACCCATCGAGTCGAAAAGTAACGTAACTCGCCGTATATCTCTGATAAAAAAAATCATCCGTATGATAGCGCTCTTTTCCCTCTCCTCGGCTCACTCGCCGAGGATGATCCGCATTCCTGAAACGTTCTATCCGAGTCTTTGGGTCTGCTCGGTATCGCGCCTCCGGCCCACTATTAATATTCCATCTAAAATCTAGATATGCAATTGCGTTTAACGGTGTGTAGTTGTATGTATGTGTTTTGCATGCGCACACGCACGCATCGACGTGTGCGAATGAATATATGTATGTCCTACGTGTTTTCTTTGTAATTCAGTATCAGTCGTCATAGAGAGTTCTAAGATTTCATTAAATTAATGTTAATTAACCATACAGTTAATCCGAATTAGCCATACAGTTAAAAATACTAAACTATAAAAAAGATATATTCTAAAAATAATTAAAAAATTCAGAACATTGTCCGAAAATATTGGGTAGAAGCGAGATTTGTAGCGTTACAAGTCCGTTCAGAAATTCTCTGCTCGACGCATAGAAAAAAATTCGCGACGTGCTATAATTATTATAATTTAGAAACGCGCGGTGTATTATATACGTTGGTTGTTTTATTTTAATATATGAAAAATTATCTTCTAGATCGCTACGGCGAATACTACGCGTATACTAAATTCTTTCTCAAATATTTATCCTTTTTCATTGGTACCATCTTCTTTAGAAAACTGCCAGAGAAAGAGAATAACGCACGAACTTAATCATACAAGTTCTAATGTAAAAGAGAAGCTATAATACAACAACCGAGCGTTCAATTGCGCAAAATGTACACGATTTAGCGGTCGTTATTACCACGGCTCTCTTACTCTTTTGTCTTATTTTTCCTTCTCCTCGTCTTTTTCCTCTACCCATGAATTTGAGGCGGCGGAATCTAATTGATCGCACAGATCCTGCACGATCTGATCCTGTCGCGTTCGGACTTCGATATTCGCGTGTTCCAGTGTCACCGCTTTGGGAGCCACCTGCAGGTACTTTTTCGCGCGACGTCACTCCCTTCGTCGACCTAAACTTCGAAGAGATCCAGCCCGATCGATCGACGTCACTCGCCAGGTCGCCGGATTCATTGATGATGGATTCAGAAGCTAGTCGTGGTCTGTTGGTGCGTCGCCTTGGTGCTCTTCGAAACCGTCTCTCGTCGCTCCGCGAGGCCGCAGCTGTCCGTGTTCCGCGAGTCCCGTTGCAACAGGCCACCCTGAAGAGTTACATCAACAAGAACAATTTCGTGTTCTTGAATACCGCGCTGTGTATTTTGTTTTGATCGAGTATCGAAGCCTCCTTATATCAGACCGTTGATTAATCTCAACGTGCAATCTTCTACTTAACACAAGTTTCAAGACTAATATTGTCTTTACGCGTCTGTGCCCACCTGGAGCAACATATTGGCGAAGTTACTATTGGTGAACTTGAAATGCCGCTTGTCGTAGAACTTTAGTAGCGCCGGACTATAAGGATGCTGTTCCTTCAGATGAAGATAATGCACTTCTGGCTCATGCGTGGTATGTCCGCATTCCTCGCAAACGTACATCTATCAACAAACAAAATGCAAATAATTCACGTTTAGCTTTATATTTCAAGACGGATTAGAATGAATCCGACAAAGAAAGAAAGAAAGAGAGACTCGTGCAATACAAAGTAATACAAACATTACAATACATATATAACAGATTGTTCTGAAGTCTTAAAGAAAAAAACAAAATTTTATAAAGAATTAAATTAAAAAAAAAAAAGAAGATTTACCTTCGCACGTCGTTCTTTATAGGCATACTGATGTTGAACACCATGGACCTTTTGGCCGTGACTTTCCAGAGAGCACCTTTGCGTGAAACTCTTTTCGCAAAGGAAACACTTGTAAGGTCGCACTCCTGTGTGCGTTCTCGTATGCCTCTTGAGATCGAAAGTATCGTTGAAGCCCTTTCCACAGAATGTGCAAAGATAACGCTTCACATCGCTATGACACTTCATGTGACGATTAAGAAGCCGCTGGAGACTAAAAGTTTTGCTGCACACACGACAAGTGAAGCGATTGGGATCGTCATCCTATTAAGCAAACAGTCAAAGAACATTTCATTGTAACGGCTTCTTATAATCTCGCGGCAATATATGTGATTCGATACATTTCATTACATCACAACCATGTCTTTAATAATGACAATTGCATACATTTTACATGCAAAAAGATAGTTCATAAAATACTCGTGTTACCTTGGTAGGTGGAGTTCGATTCGGTCTCTCTTCATCTCGATTGACTCCAGGTTGCCTTTGACCCTCGACGGCTAAAGGATTTTTTATGCCGTGACCCCCGTTAACAAATTCTAGTTGACAGTCATTCGGTAAACCCAGCTGTGAACCGATAAGAAGACATGTTAATCCAAGGTTAGTTCCTCGAAGCAATTGGAAGACTGGTGACATCGGATGAAGCACTCAAATTGATTGACATTGCATAACATACGAATAAGAGTGGCAATTAAACGAGCTACTCTTTCCACATTATATATGGTATATACCGAGTTGCATCGGCACGATTATCCGCGAACTTATTCAAATGATTCGATCGGAATGTGGTTCAAATAATTTGCGGATCGATCGCGAGCAAACCTGAAGGAAGATCGAATCAGTTCGATCCCGCTTCCGGAAGATAATTTAACGCAAAGATATATGCTTTTGCCTGGATCAATTTGGGTCGCTTACCCTTTGTTGAAGTACACCGACCCGTTGCGAAAGAGGTGGCTCCCCGACTGGTCCAGCGGTTTGCGCTGCGCCCACTGTGGTGGGTGACACGACCGGACTGTGCGCGTGTTCCGCTAGCGCACACGACGGTGAGGTGCCGGATGAGGTACCGTCCAGAGAACAGCTAGCAGTACCGGGACTAGGCAGACTTCCACCCACGCTGCTACCAGAGTCCAACTCTAAACCTTTGAGATTAAAAAATTGAACTAGTTGACGCAAAATTAGTCGTAAATTGACGAATCTTTAGCGAAAATTTTTCTGCATTATCATATTTGAATTTTACTTTTTTTTTTGCTTTTAACATAAGAGAAAGAAATCGATTTAGGTCTCTTAAACCAATGTATCCCTATTTCCCAGCGATTGAGTAATATTGTGACGACTCACCATTACTGGTAAAATTCAATCCGGGGCTTAAAAGCCCCTGATGCTGCTGCTGTTGCTGTTGTTGATGCGGCGACGCGCCGGTTTGCTGCTTCTGCTGTTGCAGTTGCACTTGAATTTGCAGCTGTTGATCTTGCTGGTGCTGCTGATTTTGATTGACATGCAGTGCGAGTTCCGGGCGTTCCTTCGGCAATGGCTGATAACTTGATTCTCCGCCCGCATAATTCAAGCTCGCGAGTTTGGACGCGTTAAAGTGTTGCGGAGTCGTGTAGTGTCTGAAAAAGGCGATCGATACACTATTTTGTAATCTACTTTGATTAAAATTCGTGCGGTATTCGTTATAACAATGTTCGATTTTTAAATCGCTGCACGGATGAAAGCAAACGACAAATCATCGCAGACTTAAACTATGATTAATTTGTAAGCGAGAGTTAATTCTCATGGTAGTTCAGACGCTCACCTCGTATCAAAGCCTCTGGTCAAGGCCATGCTATGCTCGGGGAAAGGATCAACGCTGGGCTCGACGGGAGTGGTCATCTGACCGGCATCTTGACCGATTCCGCTGCTGCCAGTCGAGGCGGGCGAATGCAACGATTCTTCTAGAAGATCGCTGCTTCCGTCCTCGGTCTGCAACCTGGGCAACAAGAGGTCGGCGGCATCGCTGAGGCTCTCCAACAATGCCGTATGATCGGAAGGTGAACTGAAGGTCAGGGTACCGGTAGTGAATTGCAACGGGTCTACCACAGCGCCAGTCACCATATCCACCATCATGCCCGTGTCGGTGACGTCGTAGGAAGCATACTGGCTAGACAACAAGTCCGGTTGAATCTTGTAAGCTCCCAATTCCTCATCTTCCTCCTTAAACGTCAAGCCGTAGGACGCGCATACATTTGCACAGACATTTTGAAGGAGAGAATACTGTTTACCCTCCTGCGCATTGTACTGTGCGTGTTGAGAATTGTCCTGTTGACCGGTATCGCATTCAATCCCGACCGCTGTCAATGGTGTTAGATATGCATTTCCTGAAATAATAATAATACTAGTGAGTCAGGAGAAGTTATTTAATTGTGACAAAGATTATTTTCTAAAATCTCACATTACCTTATTTTAATAAATTTATGTGAAATAATATAAAATTTTTTTTCTATACCTTACCAAAGGTAATTTCTTCCATAATGTGATATCTCTCGAAACAGTTTTGATATAAGGCTCCAAGCTTCCAAGGACGTTGTAATAAATGGATTAATAAATTCTAATAATTGGATTTTCAAAGTAATCTATGTAAAATCTTGTAAATATAATAGCCAAAATAAAAATAACAGTACAGTAAGAATACAAAAAGATAAAAATAAGTAAAGAGAATGTACGCGATAAATCGAATTATAATACGTCTAAACGAAGGTACCTCACGCCGGGAAAAAAGTATATTTATTACTTCACGAGCCATGAGGAAGGAATCTACTGCGCACCGTACGTTCAAAATAAAATTGAGACGATCGACTACAATATCACATTAGGAAGAAGTTCAAGATGGAAAAAATGTAAACTACACTGTATTGAAATATTAAAGTTTGTTGATTATTTCAAAAGCTAGACAAAATAAATATTTTGGTATGTATTTATGGCCGGTAAACGATTGAATCAAAACATAATTGAAACACGACACGAATTTTGCGAAGACTAGCGTTAGGAATTAATATAATTATTTTATATAGTTAGCAAAAAAAAATATAGGAATAATCTTTGAAAGATTCTAAATAATGATATCGCGAATTATCAATGTTAGTTACCAACCCGGCAATTATGTTACAAGTCAAGTATCGGCCAAACATCATTAATCGTCTTCTTCATGCGCTATACAAGTGTAAAATGTCAGAAAGAGATGAGTATATTCTTTTTACATAGAAAAAAAGAGCACCTTGAGCGGTGTTGTACTGATTGGCAAAATTGGCGAGATTATTGCCACCCTTGAGGGATTCGTAGAACGGTGGTAGGGATCCCGTCGGCGGCGAGCTCGGTCCGTAGTTACCGCGACCACCGTTACCTCCGGGAGGCATGCCGCCCGCACCCGCGCCGCCACCTACGGCACCGCCACTGCCGCCGCCTCCGCCCCCGCCGATCATCGCTCCGTTTCCGCATCCGCCGATGCCGCTGTTGGACGGCGAGGAATTACCGCCACCGCCGCTGCCACTGCCGGAGGAACCGCCGTTACCCGAGTTCGAGGATCTGCCGTGTCCCGCGGCTGCCTGCACCGCTGCCTGCGAGCCGGACAGTTTTACGGCCAGCAAAGATCTCGTGATGGAATTGCCCGAACTTCGCGATGCCATTGCGCCATCGCGGCACTTTTCCTCGTCCTCGTCTTTCCGCTTCGGCACGGCGTAGTCGATGGGCTGTTCCTGAAATTATTATCGATATTTCTCTCGTGCGTTTTTTATCGCGCGCAATATTTCTGTCGAACTTGCATCATTTTTTTTTTTTTTAAGTCATGTATGAATTACAATACATTATGACCGTGGATTTTCATAGAATTAATAAGCTTTCGTTCTTGAATATCAAAAATATCAGCGTGTGCAAGAAACTGCTCGACAGGTTGCAGGTTAAATAATGTTAAGCATAATCCCGTGCAATATTTTCTCCGCTCTTTTTTATCCGCTTGGTCACTATACATAATGCATGAGACGCTACGAGGATTGTCAGTCGAGGTTAACGAAGCGTGACTGCATTAGTCTAATATAGGAGGACCTTTTTGTCGACATATTTAAATATCTTTAACATTAATCATATATATATTTTATATTAATATTTATTTATAAGATATTTATTATTTTTTGAACAATCATGAAATATATTAGCTTTAATTCGGTAGTTACAACGTGTAACTAGCTACTGTTACCACTCATGGACGCTAAGCGCGCGCGCTTTATTAGTTAGTTGAATTTAAAGAAAACTGAGAGACGCGTAAATACGTAGTCACTTTAGACACGACCCGTTGTTTTTCCAGCAAAACGACAAGGTTCATTTGGCGAATGTAAATTTGCAACGCGTAATTTACCTGCTCCGGCTCGGGTGCTCGCACCGCATCGACTCTCTCGATCTCGATCTTATTCCCCTCTTTTCTAGAAGTGGATTGACCTTGCGACGGCACCCTCTGGATAACCGAGACTCTGGTAGGTGGCTCGACACGGGGCGCTTTCGGTGGCGTCTGCGGCCTCGGCAGAGCGATTCTTTCCGACTTGGACAGGAACTGGGGTGGATCGTCCGAGACTATCGGCGGGCTGCTGTACTCTTTACGTTCCGCCCGGGTGAGCACGTGACGCCTGCTGCCGTACGGCACGTCACCGCCGAGGATGCTGGAAATGAATCGTCTGGGTGGCGGGCTGGTCGTGTTGCTCGCCGGTTGCGTAGGCGGCGGCGACGACGCCGGACTGCTACTGCGTAAGGATTCCGGGGTCGTTGCACGGTCATCATCGGTTTTGTCGCGATCTGGAATGAGAGAAATGCAAATCCTCCTTGAGATATTCCAACACTCATTTTAACAAACTTATTTTTTCTCAAGACTTTTATATATAGTTTAATGGAATATTAAAAAAAAAATAAGTTTGTTATAAAAATATATATAATATATATTTATAGTTCAATATCCTTCTCTTGCAAAATGAATTTTTGTAGAAATGCACTTGTGGGCAAGCTTGTGTGCGTGTATACATCTATAATTTATGCAAGCTTGCATTGATTAAATCAAATATTAGCATGTTTGATAAATTAGCATTTCAATATGAATAAATCATCCACTATGATTTAAAGCAAGTATAAAGAAGAGAACAACTTGGAGAGTATCGGTATAAGGTATGAAAGAACAACGTGACCTGTTACACTGATTCCCACATTTGACGATGTACGGTGCGCAATAAAATGAGGAATGTGGTTAAACGACTTTTGCGTATCTTCGTTGCGCGTCAACGTAATTATATGCGTGAAAATGCACAGATTTTGAGCAAACTTTCCAAGGTTCGCGGAATCTTATTATTTTGCAGCGCGACATGAATTTACATTCGGATGAAAAGACGGCGAGAATTGAATCTCGATACGACGCGGAGACTGACGGTTATAATCGATGACGGTTACTTGGCCCGTTTCGTGGTTGAATTTACGAGCAACCTTGAAGGATTCGACGGTACCGTATGCCGCGTCCTTCGCACGTATACATGATCTCCCGCTTCTCTCCTCCAGCAATTTTCAGCGCCGCGTGTTCTGTACATAATCACGATAAAGTAACCGTTTTTAACTAACACACAGTAAGCGATAACCAAGATACAGTTTCGTCTCTCACCGTTGGTATTTCTTTCTCGCAGCGAATTGGGATATGTCTTCACGAGTTATGACATCAAAATTGAGAAACGATTTCTACATTTGCGCAAGTAATCTCTTACGAAATTATTTCAGTATATTTTCTAATTAAAGTAGAAAATGTCATTGGATTTATCGTCGATGATATATTAATAAATTTATTTTCCAATTAAATTTATTTTCCGTTACAATATAGCGCATCAACGGTTTTATTATTTTTTATTGTGATTCTAATGGGACGATATGTCATTGGAGATGCAAGATATACGGTTTCTTGACTTTGACATCGAGTGCTCGCTGATGAAGCACGAGGACACTGTACGTGCGTTGCAATCATGTTGTTGGAGCGACAATCAGGAAACTAACTACGAGGACGCAAAACGAGTCTTACTGAGGTCATGTACATTATGGAAAATACATCGAAGAAAGGAAAGACACTTCGCAGATTTTCTCAATCTTCTATCATATATGTATATTTTGATATTTTCTTTTATTCGTTAATAAATATCGAAAGCATTAAATGTTATTGCATTCGAGAACAATAGCGTAAATAAATATTAAAGACAGCATCTTAATGTTCATATGCATGGGCGCGTGATTGAAGATCATGAGAAATTGTAAGAAATCATAGATCAAATGGAATAAACATTTTCGAATCAAAATGATCAAAGTTTGCGTCAAGTTGCGGCGAGGAATGTAATCTCTCCCGGTATCCTCTACCTTTTTCGAGGGATTTAAATTTTTGTTCGAGAGACTCGTCCCTGAGCTCGAAATCTCAATTGGCGACGATTTCGACCTCGAAATTACAAGTTAGACGAGGTGCCTAACGATATCTTTACGCAATCGCTTGCGTCACAACTTGCAAATCCTGAAGGTAACAGCTACGGTAGCGGTGAAACTCCAAAATGGCGATTCCGTTCCGTTGATCGGGCAACCTTCGGTGCCGCGCGCGCGAAGAACCTTCGTGCGTGCGTGCGTGCGTGCGTGCGTGCGTGCGTGCATGCGTGCGTGAGTTCCTCTAACCAAAACCCCCTAACAGGTTCGGCCGCGCTATAAATACCTGCGGCGCGATCGTCGTGACCGGGGTACCGATGGTACGCCTTTGCCTATCTTCGACTCTCTCCCACTCGGATTCTCCATCTCCTGCTTATTCTCCGGCCTCGTTCCCCATTCGTCCGTTCTATCTCTCTTTCTCATTTTTCCTTTCGCTTCTCTCTCCCCCTCGAACAGAAAGAAAGAGAGAGAGAGAGAGAGAGAGAGAGAGAGAGACGGAGAGAAAATGAAATGAGAACCGGTACATCGAGTTGGAATCGAGAGGAACGGGCTTGCTCGCTGAGCAAACTCGAAGACGAGAAGAGAAGAAAAGATCAATCGAGAGGATCGGAAAATCCCGGTAAATCGGAATCGCAATACTGCTATAATTCGCAACGATTTTACAAATAATGATAAATCCACTTTTTTCTTATGATTCTATCTATCATTCCTGACAGATTGTCAAAATTATAAGTATCTTTGTTTTAATAAAATGAGACAAGCCATAGTTCCTCCTTTTATTATCATGATAATAAAATGTAAGATATATAAGATAAGATATAAAAACAGCGAAATATATTTTATTGTCATTAAAATTTTGAGGAAATTGACTCGATTTTCTTCGATAAACAAAGATTTAGCCTGCGTCGACTAAAAGGATGCAAAAAGATATTAAAATGAATGCGCTTGTTCGCGGAACAAAGTGCCCAAAGTGCCCGAAGTGCCTTGAGAGAAAGAAAAGATGGACACGCTCGACTCGACTCTGAATCCTTACAATTCCCACAACGCGAAACCCAAGAATGCGCGTTGAAACGAGCAAAGTACACTTCCTCCGCGCGAAGCCGTTGCCATTATTGCTAGTCAAATCCATGGTCCGCGTGACTTCCGCATTTGCGACTGAATGTTGAGAGTCCAGCTTCAAGATTCGTATAAAATAGGAATAAGCATTCCATATTTAAAATCCCAATTACGCTCCATCTCAATTCTACGCTTATAAATGTGAGAATTGCACTTAATTGCTTAATTGCTTAATTGCAGAATCGCACACATTCGATGTTACATTTGGTTTGCCGAGCCCGAGTCTTTAGCTGTCGACCTCTCAGCAACGGTTATCGGCGGTTTCTCAAGAATGACGATAAAACACGCCTTATGACGTTTACGGCAACCCATAAATATCTCGCGCAGAGTTACTCTCTATAGATATAGATATAGATATACATATACATATACAACGCGTCGATTACTTCATCATCCGATACATTGTTTCTAGTTTGTATGCAGATAGGCGTGATAAACGTCTGATCGGCGAAGGCGCGCGTTGCATTAACCGCGATGTTGTTGTAGCCGAAAGGAAAGGAAAAACCTGAAAAAAGGACCCGAGAGAGCAGGGAGCGGTCGGTTGTAAGTAGGTCGGCTAAGCCGCGGCGTTTCGTTCGTTGCGATCAAGCAGATATTGTCCGCAAATGAAGGTATATAAGGCCGATGGCTGACGATGCATCGCTCGCGCCCCGACAACAGAACTTGCAACAGGATCTCGTCTGGCCACTTATCTGAGCGCTTTATATCGTACAACACACACGGCGGATTTTTTTTCTCCAATATCGCGCCTCCATCTCGGTCTTTATTGACGTAAAGGTTCACATCTCGATTTATTTTTTTTTTTTTTTCGATAAGCTTGCACCATATAAAAATTATATTATCATAAATATATAGTGAGTCTATATAGTAAGTAAAAACATGTTTCGTATTTCTTAAAGTCCTTTCAAAAAGAAAAAAATTTTAGCTCTTTTTTTTAACTTCAAAATTCTTTTTCTTTTTCGTAAATCTGATATTGTTAATTAATATCATTACATTATTTTATAGTATAATGTAAACTTGATATATATATATATATATATATATGCGTCGAGAGAAATTATGAAGACAAAAATGCTTTGAAAAAATCGGTTTGGTAATTGCGAGAATAATAATTAATATCTTAATTAATTAATATCGTTGTTAATTATTATCATTACATCATTTACAATAATAATATAAACTCGATTTATAAGCGTTGAGAGAAATTGCAAAGACAAAGATGCTACGGAAAAATCGGCTCGGTAATCGCGAGAAAATGCGACGTCCATGGCCACGCGCAGCCCGACGCGGTATCTGCGTACGTTTGCGTAGCGGTACCGTGCGTGGGTCGTCGCGCGCGGACAACAAGGTGACACCGGTATACGCGGCCACTTGGTCGCTTTACGTAATGGATAGTATTCCCTCCGCTTTGTCATTTATATATACACATATATATATTGGCGCGTACGTTTCCGCACTTTTCCATTTTTTAAACTATCGGTTTCAACGAAATGTGGTTTTCTAAATATGCTCTGCGCGATTCCTTTCGCTTATGATAGGAAAATCAAATATTGACAAAATTTGTCACGCAATTTGGCATATATATATATGCGTCGAGAGAAATTATGAAGACAAAAATGCTTTGAAAAAATCGGTTTGGTAATTGCGAGAATAATAATTAATATCTTAATTAATTAATATCGTTGTTAATTATTATCATTACATCATTTACAATAATAATATAAACTCGATTTATAAGCGTTGAGAGAAATTGCAAAGACAAAGATGCTACGGAAAAATCGGCTCGGTAATCGCGAGAAAATGCGACGTCCATGGCCACGCGCAGCCCGACGCGGTATCTGCGTACGTTTGCGTAGCGGTACCGTGCGTGGGTCGTCGCGCGCGGACAACAAGGTGACACCGGTATACGCGGCCACTTGGTCGCTTTACGTAATGGATAGTATTCCCTCCGCTTTGTCATTTATATATACACATATATATATTGGCGCGTACGTTTCCGCACTTTTCCATTTTTTAAACTATCGGTTTCAACGAAATGTGGTTTTCTAAATATGCTCTGCGCGATTCCTTTCGCTTATGATAGGAAAATCAAATATTGACAAAATTTGTCACGCAATTTGGCAAAGATCGAATGTCATATGTATAGTAACGTGTAATTGATTAGAGAAAGATATAGAAAATTCTAAGATATATTGTTCTTGTAAAAAATATATACCGTTCACAGTATATATATATAATTTAATATT